GACGCCTGGAGGGGAAGGTGCCGGGTGTCAGCGGGACTCCAGGGCGAGCAGGGAGCCGGGGGAGGCCAGGCACGGATCTGCGTCCCTCCTGTGTGACAAGGGACCTGCCTTGCGAGCCAGGCTCTCGGTCACGGCTGAGCGAGTTCATGTGCCGGGGGGGTCGTCCCTGGGGTCGAGCTGCTGAGGTCGCAGGGAGGCCTGCTGTGGGTGCCAGCCGTGTAGCAAAAAATAGCCTAGGCGCCTGGTTCACGTTAGGGTTTTCTGAAAGGGAATTCGTCAGTTAAAGTAGATGTTAAATAGTTTTTAAAAATTCATGTTTTCAGCCTGGAAATGTAGGATTGTGAAATTAAAAAAAAAAACAAACCACCAACAAACCACGAAGAAAAGAACACCCCACCTCTGTTGCTTTGGGGTTTTAACTAGAAAGTGCATGCAGAACAGTTTTTTAATTGGCTGTTACTTGGTGGAAATGTAGGTTTTTCTTGAGTGTGGTGTGTTGCAATCATATTTTTGCCTACTGAGAGGATGGAGCTTCTTTCCCTCAGGTTTTCTTCTAACGTGCTTCCCATTTTCAGTGACATTATATCACAGCAACCTCTTCTCAGTGGTGAGTGAAGGTTTTGTCACCATGTCTGTAAGACAAAATGATTCTTAGAAAAGCAATTCAAACAGTTCTGTGGCTTCTCTTTTTCAGCAGAAATGAAGCACTTTTTCAGCACCTTAATGAAGCACTAAGCTTGCTTTCTGCCAATCTTAAGATAGATATTGCCTCAGCCTTGTGAGGAGTAAAAGCTGTGTGATAACAGATGCAACTTTAAAGTTGTCTGTAAGCATGTTTTATTTGCTACTTATAAGTATACTTACGGCTTCTAAGTTATTTGTAGCAGATACCTATTTTTCACTGTGAAAATTAGCTAATATCAGTCATATCTGATACTATGAAGCATTTCTAGTTCAGCCAGTCATGTCATGTGCTGAAATTCTACCTTCTCACTCCTTAACCATCCACGTGCTGCTTGTGCAGCTGCAACTTCTTAGGTCAGCTGTGGGCTGGAGAACTAATTGACTCTCTGTTTGCATTTCCTATTGTTTTTCTCCAGCAGACCTGATCTTAATAACCAATCTCCAGCCTGAATCAGTGGTGGTGTAATGAACAAAAGAATTACTTAGTGTTTATTAATATTTAAAGTTTAAATCAGAACAATTCTTTAATCTTTGGGACCATTTTAAAACAAAAAGAAAACCTTTGGACCTGGAAATTTAGCACTACAGATTAGTTTTGGAAGTCTAGCCTTGGGAAAGAAGTCCTGAATTTGTTTTAGGGGCACAGGGTCTTTACTCAGTGCACAGAAAGACTTTGGCAGTAATGTGGCACGTAAAACAGGCACATAGCATATTCAGTAGGGAAATGGCCAAAGTCAGCACCTTTAAAATGAAGTTGCCTAAACCCCAGTAACAAACACCAAGTACAGTGGCATACCTGAATTTCAGGCATGACAGAAAGTGCCTTTGTCTACCTACTGTTATCACGTTGGGGTTCCCATCTTTCTGATGAAGGAGCCATGACTGTGACTGCTGCAAGCGTCTTTCCAGAGGGATGTTGCCCAAACGTTTACTGTCCTTACTTTATGAGAGTAGGGAAGAATTGGAGCAAAATTATTCAGGACAAAGTTATTTAAGTCCTTAAATTCAAAGGAAGAAGGGGTATTGCATCATTCTAATAAAAAAATGGTAAAATAAGTAAGAACAAAACTTTAAAATAAATCTGTTACGTGATAGGTAACTATCTGAGGTCTGTTTTGTTCATGGAGCTTGAATCTGAAGAACTTTAATTCTCTTCACATTGCGAGTGTGACTCCTCATTTGAGAACATCAGCTGGCTGATGCTTGTTACGTTTTCTTTTTAATTTTCTGGACAAAATCTAAGCAGAACAAGGAGGTTTTGCATTTCTGAGTGGTGAGAGGCTTAATAATTTGAAGGCAAAAATATACCATTTTTTAAATTATTTTTTTGTTTTCATGAATGATTTTATCCAAGTGTTACTGTAATTCACTATAAATTTGAAAGGAATGCTGCTCAGAATTCATTACTAATGTTCAGTGATAATTGTTATTGTGTGCTTACCCAGCAGATCTTACTTTGATCAGCAGTAGTGCTTTGAAGGGTGTTGCCTTGATCCAGTGACACTGATTAAGTAGGTATTTCATCTACCCATTGTGGTAGCTAAATTGGGTGTGAGCTGAGCTGTAATATTTCTCCATATGTCCCCCATTGCTATAAGTAATCCAGTCATTCTTCCTGTATAATTGAACCTGTTATATGCTTTTGTTTTTATTTGCAATGCTGCACCATGGCGACTACCTCAGCAGCTAGCTCTGGTAACTATGAAAAGTGACGGATGGAATTGAGCCAGAGTTACAGTAGCTCTGGTTTGGACTATTCAGGAGATACCTTTGAGCCCTTCAGTGAGGAGGAAGAAGCCAGCTGGCAGTGAGAGAGCGAGCCATCCGAATCGTACCGTTCCACAGAGGATTTAGAGTGTTCTACCATGTCAGATACATTGGAAAGCATGTCATGGTTGGCAGGCCAAAATCATGCAGGTATGCAGAGCTTACCGTGCTTGAGACCTGTTTTTCACAGCTTTAAATCAGTGCAGTGGAGACTTGAATCAGCAAAAATAAAAATGTAAAAATTGCATACGGTGTTCTTGCTGTGCTAAGCAACAGAACCTCAGTATGCTGACTAGATCTGTGTTCTGCACTCTCAGGATTTGCTGACAGCTACATGCAGAAGGGTATGATTTGGCCATGGAAACCGTTCCTTGTGATGCTGAAATTCTGTTGGCATGTTAAAAAAAATTCTGCAAGATATCTTGACTGAGTTACCATGTATGAAGAGTAGCTGGGCCGTAAAACAATCTTTCCAGGGGCGTAGAAAATACTTAAGAGGGCTAGGTAGGACCTTAAAGCTGCATTAGATGAGCGATAAAGAAGCAGGCAGCAGTACGTAAGTTAACTGCCTTAATGTCTTGTTAGGTTTTCTTCTGTCTCTGTGGGGTTCTCTGTCATTCTTGTACATTCTCCTTTTCTCCAAGTTTGGTCTGGTAAGTATTGTGAGTACTTGAAGAGATGAATATTTTTTTAAAATCTCTTTTTAATTTGGGAGCTTGTCAGCATGTAGAAACATTATAGCTTTAAAGATTAGTTACAACACTTTTAATGTATTTTTAAAAGTAGTGTAGGCTTAAGATATAGTTTAATGTCTATTAACTGTTACTCTTGTAATCTGATTCTACTCAGTTCAACTTGATCAGCTGGCATATACCAATATATAATTAACCTTGTCTATACTTTAAAATTGGCAAGCTGTTTCTTTTCCTACTATAGACAAGTCCATAGAGATGTTCCTTCTGTCCCTCATCTATCCAACATTTTACTGTGGGTTGGGGTTTTTTTTTTTCACTCTGCAGTAATAACCAGCACTGTTATCATTAGGAAACCTTTTTAAATACTGCTTAGGCATGAAATCCCAACAATGCAGGGCAAAATTTGTTGTCAGGTATATATACATGAATGTAAACCCTGTTTATCGTAGCACAGAAGATAGCATTAGATATCAGCGTTTTAGAAATCTGAGATGATCATTGCCTTGGTGTCTTGTTCATGGTACATTTATATAACTGAACAATGTCTAACAGTTTTGCTTAAAATTTTTGGTTTTTAAAAATAATAGGTTTTAATGAACCTTTTTTTTCTGGAGCTATAACAAGTTTTTTTAAATTATTCCATGTCTAACCATTGAAATCCTTATTTCCGGCATCAAGGAGTACATGCTAAGAGGAATCCTTGCTGTGTGCATAGAGGTTTGTTTAATAAGTGTTACCACTCTTTATCGTTACAAGGTTAATGTTTCGTAAAATTATGGAGTCTTCTGAATACTACCAGTTAAATGAGAAACTAGGAATAATTCATAGAAAAATATTTTGGGAAATGGATTGCTTTCTGTGGTATATATCTTACGAAGAACAGCATATATAAATAATAAAAACTATAGAAAATCTGCCATGCTGGTGTCCCCATAGGGACACATTATTTCCTTGTGTAAGCCCACTGAATTTGCTATTAGTACCCTGAAAACAGAGTAGAGAAGTCAGGTGCTTCATGAGTGTGCTCAGTGTTTTGAACGGGGACCACGCTGTATGCATCTTGCTGTCAGTGCCAGTGACTTTTCAGACATCTTAAGTCTTTTGTCTTTTCCTAGCTATTCGCTTTCACATTTTTGCTGTTTCTTCAGTTTCTGCAGAACTGGAGTTGTGCTGGGGAACAGGGAGCTGATACAGATTTTTTAATTTCTCCTGCCCCACGTTATTTTTCACTTGGATCAATACCTTGAGACAGTTCACCTAAGCTCCCAAGAGTACTTGTGCTGTCACAAATGAAGAGCCTATTCAGGGCTGAAAATAAGCAATGGGGCTGAATGAGGGAGGAGGTAGATTAAGGTTAAGTTAGCATTAGAGATAAAATTGAATGTGTCAACAAGCTCTAAGCAGTAGTCTCAGTGTATCCTATATTGTCTTTCGGTAGGGTGATTAGAAATGAGCAATATGAGATACTTTGTGGGACAGAAGCTTGCTCAGCATTTCACCCTGAAATCACTGATATCATCTGTATAGTCCTGTGGTTTGGCGTTTCTTTTCTCTCAAGAGGGAAAACTGCCACATTCAAGTGGAGGATTATTTGCCTCCCACTTTGTTTTTCTGCAGTCCTGCTTTCTTTACAATGCATGTTCAAAGCTACCGTTTTTTATTGTAGATGAGCAGCCTGAAGTAGTGGATTCTGCAGCTCTAGAAAGAGATGTCATGGGAAAATGGATTGATCTAAAAAATAAAGAAGCTGGCATTAAGCAAGACAAATCTGTCATCAAAACTCATGCTGGTGAGTTCAGTAACTTTAGTAGAGGTTATAATTCTTGTTTCTTCTGAAAGGGGATGTAAACTTTTAAGTAGACTTGAATTTTATATACAGGCCATTAAAGTTAAGCCAGGTAATTAGCCTAGCTTAATTAGCCAGGTAATTAAGTACGAAGTTGCTCTTTTATGCTTTCTCGGAAAGCAGTTTCTCTCTCATAACACATATGGCTTTGATGCTGCTGACATAGTGGCGTTATCCTGGTGATGCATTGTCACAAGATCTGGATAAATACATTAAAAAATGTATCCACATTTTAAATTTAACTGTAATCCTCAAAATTGTACTGGACTGTTTAGTTTTTCTCTTTTTCTCTCCAGCTCAACAGGTACTAGGAGTGTGGGTTTTTTCCTTCCAAAGTAAACATCGCTTCAGAATTTATGGTGTGAAATGTTTTTCTCCCTGTTAATCAGTTGTGTTAATTACTGAATTACTTGTTTGCCATGTTTTAGTTCCTTTCCCAAGCTGAGGGAGGCAGCAGGGCACCAGTTTTGGCAAGAACAATGGAGCAGCTTTAACCAACACAATGATGTAGTGTATGGAGGAGGAGAGGGGAAGGGGGGAAGGAAGGATGCTGTTTGCACGTACTGGTTATGCAAGCAACTGTGAAAGCAGATGGTGGGATGCAAGTCCTGCTCAAGTCTTTCTAAAAAGTGGGTCAGAGATACTATTTTTAGTTAAAAAAAGAGCACGAAAGCTGTAGTTGAGCAAAAAATAATTGAAGCAGAAGGGGAATCTTCCTCAGTCTGTATGCACGTGAAAAGTGAACAAACTCAGAAGGTTTGCAAGTCACCTGTAAGACTGGTTAACCAGGGAGATCCTCCTGCCTAGGTACTTCATGGCATTGCATTTGCATACAAGCATCCTCAAACTATCCATATATCATAGGAAAACATGACCTAAGATCATTTTTAGGCTATTTTAATTGTATAGCTCATTCACAACAGTGGTGAGTCAATGTTATGAGTTCCTGACTCATCTTCAGCATTTATCTTTCTATTACTGGTTTTCCAAGACTGCCATGTAGTCAAGTGAGAAGACAGTTAATGTAGATTATCTCATCTGTAGTAGAGAGGCTTCTCCTGGCGAGCTCCTCTGAGATAGTCTTCCTAAAATACATCAGAATCTTGTGACCATTTGATTCATAGAGAAATTGAAAAGGGCCTGATGAGTTCAGATTCATTGAATGAATGATAAACAACAGTATAAGGTTGAGGAAGTTTTCCACCTCTACAGAGCTTTCCCCTGAAAGTTACACTTGGGAAGATTTTATCCTCTTAATCAATTTCAGATTTTTGTAGTTTGCACAAGCGAACGTTCTGCCTTTGGTTTATGGACTTTGATGGGCAAGGATAGTCAGAGTGGTCACTCAGTCTTGAGTAGCAAGTTCTGTTTCATTAGCTTGCACTGATGTATGAAGTGATGCATTGTCTTCTGTCTGCCTGTCTATTGCTTGACATCTTAGCAGCTAAGCACTTTTCAGGTATGTTGTTACAGTGCTTCCAACCACTATCAATATGAAGAGCACAAAATAAGGTTCATGCTTATGCTTCTTTCATGCAAAGAGTACACTGTCACGTGATTGACAAGTTATCCCCAAATTCATCAGCATCAATCATACTTAGCCATGTACTACATTTTTTATTGCAAAATATTAACATATAAGCAAAATAAGCACAGCGACCTTTGTATACCGACATCTATAAATGCCTGCTTCTCTTTGACTTATTAATTCAGTACTTGGGAGCCCCCAGGCCTCTTATTTTATCAACTTGGAGGTTTTTTTTAAAATATAATAGAAGATGAGCTCACATAGAACTAGATTGCTGCACAGTTAATCCCCTCAGTAAATTCAGCAAAATGAATGATGCATGTGCTGAGCATGCATGGTACTTTTGAATTTGTCTTCAGGTAATGAAACAAAAATTCTTTTTATTATCTTACTACTGATAGGGTTAAATATGGGGGGTGTGTGTGTGTAATCCTGGTTTGCATATGGGAATGCCCTGGAATGTGATTCTTATTTTTCATAGTTTTCTTTCTGGACTGAAAGAAGGAAAACCTAGATGCTGGCCTCAAGAGAAGTGAGAAATTTTTGTCATAGTTGTCTTTCTGTCGTCTTCTTCTCTGGCCCTCTACCCTAGTGTTGTAGCAACTAGCTGTTATTAGACAAATGCATCACAAAATGACTATATGTCCCCAATTCCATATAGATTATTCCAAAGACCATTAGTCATCTTTAAAATATACTACAGGAAACGGCAGTTCTTCAACTTAGATGTATCTGAAAGTTCAAGTGGGGCTTTTTAATGCTCTGACTTGTACTATATTCAGAAGTTTGCTCTCACCTTTGTTTGTAATGTGTCTACATTAAATGTTTTGCTCATTTATTATTTTTCTGCAGTGTTACCACTGCACTATTGCTGGCAAAAGCGAGAGAGCTTTAGTTGTTAATGTATGTTATTTAGAGGCATAGAAATGTTTGAGCAGCATCAGTTAGTTTTGTGGCTGAAACACAGTTCAGTCAATATTACCAACTTAACCATTATTATTAATTATGTTAGTGGTGTCAATGGTGGGAAATCTAAAAGTAAAAAAGGCCAGTGTAGATAGAGGCAAATAAATACTTGTAGTTCGTGTTGTTAAGGTGAAAGGCGCTGGCATGTGTGCGTAGACGTGTGCATTGAGGGAAGTGTAAGTGTTTGTTTTTCTGCATCAGATTTTTTTCCAGCTTGTCCAGAGTATTTCTGAGTAGATCTAGTTTATATTCACCTTTGAACAAATTTTCATATGTCCAAGCATTTAATTATTGACTTACCAAATAGTAGTAGTAGTAGTTTATTAAAAGTATTATTAAAAATAGTAGTGGTCTATTTATAAGAATTGAGAAAACATCCTACTGCTCTGTTTGGAGAAGGGAGAAGGTATCCAATAGTCTATACTGGCTCTCTTGCCTATTCCTGAGCTTTTCAGCACCGAAGCTTACTGCTTGATAACATGCACAGGTTGTGGGATTCCTGCAGACCTAGTTAGGCCCTGAGATTCCAGACTTCTCTTCTGATTCTGTAGTAGAATAGTATTAACATAGGCTAGATGGGGAAATTCCAACCAGCAACATCTAAATGGAAACGCCTGCTTGTAAAGAAAGTTCATCGAGTTCATTAACGCCTGTATGGAACTGGGAAAGAATGAGTTTCTTCCGAAAGACATGGATTCTGTGAGGTTCTTACTGTTGTCTCATCTCACCAATGTTGGTGGAAACTGTGGGTATCCTTCACTGTGCTGGACGAACTTTACTTGCTTTAAACTCATATTTGTAATAAATAGCCTGATATTTCAGGCTGTTCGTATCAGTTCTGTGTTATCTGCACAAATCTTTCAAACACTTTGTTTGCTGATCAGGCTGTCAGCATGATCATCTGAACTGCTGCACTCAATTGCACAAATGCAATTTAGATAATTATGAAAATGTTATCTTGAGTTGCAGAGTTAAAATCTTTCTGAAGAGTAGTTATCAGTTATTGCCTTTCACAATTATCTCTCTCTCCTTTAACCATTTTACATTTTTTCTTCTTAAAATAGAGTATTAGGAGAACATTATAACAAAAAAATGCCTGCCTATTTTCCTATTAAATCAAAGTTGGACATGAAAGGAAAAGGAAACTCCATAAAGATTTTCTTTATTTTTCTCCCTTCACTCATAGATTTAAAATGTCATACTTAAAGATGTAGTGGCATACAGAAAGTAAGATCTATGTAGGTCACTTAGTTATAAACCACACAGCAGGGTTTAGAATGTAGACATGGAGATTAGCTTATCTCCGTTGGTACACACTGAGTGCTTCTGTAATCAGAGCAGCTTCTTGGTCCGGTTTGTTGTGCTTTACTTTCTAAATATTTTGTGCTTTGTGACCTTACTGCTGTATGATACATAGCTCTGTCTTGATGTCTGTTCTGGTGTCTGGTTTTGCTTTTCTTGTCACCTGTTCCTCCCTTATTCCTCTCCAGTGAAGAGGTGTGGGAATGCAAGATTCGGGGCAACCAAGCATCAGCAAAATGTACTTCTTGAACGGTAATTGGCACTGGCAGGGATTCTCTGTAGACAGACACGCAGTGACATTTAAATCTGCCACCACAAATGGAGATTGAGCATTCGAGCATGTCTAGTTCAAAGATGGGAAGGAGAGAATACATGAAAGACATGAGAAATAAAACTAACCACCAAAGCAAGTGCATAAGTCCTCTGGTATGCATATCTTTTCTTTCAGCTGAAGGACAGGTGAACCTTGTATACCTGGAAGAAAATCTGAAAGTGTAAATAATCATTGTGCAGTTAAAAGACTAACTTTTCAGAATTTAGCTGTGTGCTGACTTTTCTCACCATTTTTTGTTCTTGTTTCAGTATAATTATAGTCCTTGATCCGTGATAATTTTTATTCTTTCTGAGCTTATTTACTGTTAAACATGAATTAAACAAGTAACTTTTTGAAATTGGTTGTGCAGTCAGGTTTAAAAATTTCTGTTCCCTTTGCTAGTGTTTCTTCTAATGTCTGTAGGTGCAAATGAGCAAATGGATGGGTGTATGGCAGCACACAATTCATGCACTATTAGAAACCAATTCTTAATTACAATGCGTTCCTATATGTCAGGAGAAACTTAAATGAATTAATTAGGCTGGTATTAAAGTGTCACAAGATGTTCAGCAGACCCCATGTGTTTTACTTATGCATTTTGAGTACTCAACTTAGTATGTGTAAATGCTTTGTTCTAGGGTTTTTTCCCCCACAATAATAACTTTTTCATCTTTTTATTCATTCTATGTGCAGCATAAATGAATATGCCACTATTTTATTAGTGCAATTAAACCCAGCAGTGGCACATGATTTACAGTGTTTTACAGGAATTCTACATCGCAATTGTAAGGAAAGTGACCTGATGACTGAAATGGTGGTTTCCACTCAAATGTTTATGATCTGACCCAAGAAAAATCTTTTGTTAAATTACATTTTAAAGTATTGTTAATTCTTACTCATCTGTCTATAAAGTATCACTATGTCTTTGTCTTTAGTCAACTTGATACATCATCTTCTAAGGAGGAATGAATTGCTTTACGATGATTGATTCTGAACTGTGGTAGTTGCACTTAAATCACATCTTTTCCTTGTTGTGCATAAAGCAAAGCTCACTGATTCCTGCTTTGGTTAGTCTTAACTATAGATCCACTTATTCTTTATACGAATCGACTGCATTTCTGAAGAGATACAGCTGTGGAATTTTACAAGGAAACTGAGTATCTTGTGTACTTGAGACTGAATTCATTAGAGCATATTTAGGCGAAGTTTTACATTCATATTGTTCAGTGTTTTAAGGATTTGTGTTGTAGTTACGCCAAGGTACCCCACAGGACTGGAATGCCAATGCACTGGTTGTCAGAGAAGCACCCTGAAATATGCAGTGCCTGTCTAGAAAAAGTAAAGCTGAATTTAATCACTGAAAATGAGTGAAATGAACAATATGGAGGGATCGTTTAAATGGTATAATCATACTTTCCAGTTAAATGGGCGGTATAATTTGTTACTGAATACTTTGAGTTAAAACAAACTGACCATATGTTACCTGAGTAGTCATTATTGGTTGTCTGACTTTTTTTGTCTGTCAGAGTAGAGCCCTGAGAAGGGAACGCTGTGTAGCATTAGCTATATGCAAAAGCTATATGCTATATTCACAAGACTTCTAGTAATGCTTACTGTAATGTTTTGTCTTCTCCTCATTGCTGCTTTAATTACACACATTAAAGTGTTTAGTTGGGCTTCAGTAGTTGCATAAAAGTGAAATCTGTGTAATAAAGGTAGAGAGGTACTCTCCCCTGTTTAAATAGTTGAAAACAGTGGTATCTCTTAAGGCCACGTAGTACTACACAGCATCATTATATGCTGATGCTCATGAAATACTGAAAATGTAACACAATTACTCATGTTAGCTAGCCTGTATAGATTGGCTGAGTTTAAGCCTGTGGAAAATCTCCCACTAAGCATTGAATGAAGTTGTAAATCCGTCCGTACCTGCTCATCTGAAGTATAATCTCTCAGTTTTTATTTATTATTGCATGCCACTGGGAAGGATAAGAGACGATGAAAGAATGAAAGGTATTGTTTAAACAAGGTCATATAAAGAATTTAGGAAACCATCACTGAAGCTTTGGAGGAAAGTATTTTCTAAATAATTGCATTTCCTCAAAAAAAAAAAAAAAGAAGCCTAACTATAGGTTGTAGAATATATTTGAGCTGTTTTCCAGAGTTGCTTCAATAGACACTGCCTCTAATTTTTCAGTGTCTTATGAATCGCTCCTTAGAGTTACTAGATGAGTAGCTCTTGTTAAATGTTAATTCATTTTGTTTTAGCAAGTTGCGGTTTCAGGTAGGAAGAAGCTAAATCTGTATTAGGCAGTCATTGAAACTCAGTTTATTTAATGTCACAGTATTCAAGTACTTGCTTTACTAATATATTTGTGCTGTATCATTAAGTAATCTACTTCTTCAGGGTTTTTATCCCCTCTCCTCTTTGGAGACTATTCATAGAGACATTTAGTGTGCAAGTTCCTACAGTTATCATCCAGATTTTTATTTAAATTCTGCACTGCTGTTATTACAGTCATTGCCTCTAGGCTTGACATTGGGTTTAGTTTTTTATTAAATAAATAATATGAGGTCGCACAGATAGAAGACCAGTAATTCTTCTCTTTCCCCGATACAGTAATTGACACTTTTGTTTTGTTGATTTATGCCTGACAGAAATTACTGAATTATTAGATGGAGAACCGGATGCTCTCCGGTCTTTTTGCAGCATTAAGATAAGCAAGATGTGTCAGCAGCTGATCTCGAAGCAGGCAAATGGTGGCAAGTCAAGAAAGCTGCAGCATGGATTCACAGCAAAGAAACTGGAGACAAGTGACTTGAACTGCATTGTTCCTGATCAGCTAATGAACAGAATCCGCCTGAAAAATGTCAGAGAGACTGTTAAACAGGTACTGCAAGGAAGAAAAAAATTCAGATTTTGCCTACGCTTTTGGGAGAACCACTGGAAAAAAAAGCCATTATGTAAGGATCAAATCAGGCAGACCTTACTGATGCCATGCTCAGGCCTCTGAAAGAGATTTTTGCTTTATATCTCAAGATTTACCTTTCTCATCTTTTTGCTAGACATTACTGCAGAACTGTGGCTAGTAAATAATCAAATCATTGTAAAATATTGTCTGGTGATAAAATAATTATTTTTGTGACTGAGCGAGGCTGGGATGGTCAGTTATTGCAGCCCACAATAAGCCCTGAATCAACTGAAGAAAAAGGCCTTGTTTTCTGGTCACATTTGCACCTGTTATTTATAGAAGTATTCTGCATATTATTTGATTGTGGAGTCTTTGTGACTCCAGTATTAAAAGTATTCCAAAGGCGAAACCTCCCCCCTGCACCCAGCTTTCTTAGACATTAGGTAGTATTAAGAATTAAAGCATGTCCAATAGAATCAGTTCCTTTAGTAAGGAGCATCTGTATCATCTTTACACAATTCAAAGTGCTTTTCTTTTTCACCAGCCCAGTGTTTTTTTCCCCGCCATAGCATAGGCATTGTGACAACAGTTCCTCCCTTCAGCTCTGCATCTAAGAGTCTCGAGGCTGGTTTTTTTTTTGGCCAATGATACTTGCATTCTTGCTTTGTGCTTGCAAATGGATTTGAATATGTGGTTATGTGGCTTTGAGTAGTGGCCATTGCGTACAGATGCCTTTACCTGTAAATCTGGGCCTTGGCAAATGTCTATACTTTGAAATTAGTACAGAATGTCTACATCTGGGAAAGTATTTCTGATAAAACAAAAAATGAGCTTTGAATAGTAATTACAGTCATTTATTTTGTTTTATCTCTGTCACATTTGCTGACTTTAATTTATTGCCATATATCTCAGTAAAAGTGATAACATATTCCTCTGCAAAGCCTGTGCCAGGTGAGCAGGGAGTAATACTTTTGAAGTCGGTTCTGGTGTGATGATTATTTCAGGCTTCCTGTTTGTTTAAATTGTTTTGAAATTTCAGCAATCTGCATTCTTTCATTGTATTAATGTTAACCAACCCACCATCCAAATTTTGTAGAATTTTTACTGCCTCTTTATTTGTCTTACGGTGTGGTAATACATTTTCTAAGAAAAGTAACTTTGACTGCTATGTCTATTTGCTGCTGTCTTTACCTCCACATAATAACATTTTTATGCAGAGGAGAAGAAATCAAGGAAGAAGACAGACAGGCTTGAGACATGACTTTCTAGGATTGATTCCACTGCTTTTGTAGACCAGATGGAATCTGTGTAAATTAAATTAGATAAAATTATTGATATTTCATAAATGCACAAATACTGGGATTTGTGTAATGCTATTGAATACACTTAAGATTTCATGGTGGATAAGCTAATATAGGAATTAATAAGTAGTACTGTTTATCCTACAAAGAAAACAGTAGAATTTTGTTTGTATTCTGACTCAGAGCTGCATATAGATATTTGAACTAATTGCTTCAAAGTTTATTTACCTCTTAGAGTTTGTAAAGATAATCATAACCTCCTAAAATTTGTGAAGATAATCATAACCTCTACGGTTGGTATTTAAGGCCTTATGTGTACTGTCGGCATAGGAACATTGCTGTTCCTATAGCCTCATTACAGACAAGCAGTTATATATGCTGGAATTATTGCTGATTAACAATTGCTGTTACTGAGTTGTGATGATCAAGTGTTTAAACGTGGAGTAAAACATGTTAACTTAATCGAGCCTTCAGGAATTAGTGTATTTGCTGTTGTGGAAGACTGGTTAGCATGCACAGATTGGCTTCCTGGAACATCAGGTACTCATTAAGCAAGAGTAATGGCTGGTGGTGCTTTAAGCATATTTAACACTAGCAAAGTATGTATAGATTTACACTGGCAAAATTGTAATTTGTACTGAGCATCCACCCAGGGTCAAATGAGTTATACTAATTAAAACAAATTTTTTGCTAGTATAACTGTATCCTCACAGTTGGTTTTGGCTGGTCACCGATGTGTTGCTTGGCAATCACACGACTACTTTCTTTTTTTGACCGTTATAGCTTCTGTGGAGGAAGTCAGTAATGTCCATGTAACATCAAGCATCAGGGAGACTTTGCCTATTGCAAGAAGAAATGGTATATTACAGATCAGTGCTATGGTTCTGAGATACAACTGGATAATTTTAATGAAACTAAGTTATCGGTGTTGGAAGGGGTAATACCTGGGGAAAAGCAAATATATTTAGTCTGAAAACATTCAGACAGGCTCATCAAGATGATACTGTGACAAAGATTATGAAATAATTTACAACTGCCTACAAAAGCAAATTTTTGTCTTTAGACAGTATCTATATCTGTATTTTTATTGATTGTTCTTAATGGAGTGGCCATCTGGCTAGAACAGACATTGCTCATTGCATCGAAGTCTCATCTTTCAGGTGACAGAAGCTCAAATCCACGAATCTGCAGTGTGCCCTGACTGTCAAAAGAAGGAAGCAGAGCTAGCCAAGGTTACCTTTCTCAGACAAAAGAAGATTCTAATGGAAAGTGCTTTAATCCGAGGGAAATTGGAAGAACAGATTTACTCCAGAGTAAGCAAATATTGTTAAAAAAAAGCTGTGGTACATTTTATACATACTGTAACTAAAGAACCTGTAAGCCGGATTTCCCTCTGATTTATGGCAATGAGATCAGATTGACCTGAATGCAGTGCAAGTCAAAGTAGAATTTGGCTCCATATCATTAATAAAATGCTTGGGACTAACTACTAATCAAGTCATTTGAGCCTGCCTGATTTATATAAGCTGAAGGTCTTTCCCAGGATGTCCTAGAATTGTTTTGGGTACGTCTTGATTGTTTCTCCACAGTTTGTTTTCTGATGGGCTGTCCAAGACAAAATGGTAAATAACAAAATGATGTGATAGTAGGTAACTATGCCCATACTAGTCTTCCTTACTCGTCCTTTGGCGTAGGAGTCTCAGAATAGGACACTGCAACATGTGGAGGCTAAGGCCTCCCAGATACACTGAGATTTCTTCTTGGAAGAACTGTTTTCTGTCTGTGTCTGCTGTCACAAAGATTCAGGCTTTATTGTTAGGAAATGCCTCTGGAATAGATGGTTGTCCTGGTTTCG